TCATTTGAGTTCAGTTGAGGGATGCTTGCACGAGCATTGGAGGTGTTCACGCGCGGATGCATAGATTGCACTTTGAAGCTTGCACAAAGTTGATTGCACTGTTAGACAGCACCGTACATTATGCATTCTACAGACTGCACTACACAGCGTCCACACGATAGTTTAAGAATTGATTGTTCGGGATCCACGCTGGCAAAAATCCGATCAACGTGTCAAATTTACTCCGCATTGTCTTCCGCGAGAATGCACTTACTCTGCGACCAGTGTAAACTCACTCCGTCGCTTCTTCTGGCAGGAATAATTTTCACTGCGCTCCCCCGAAACTCACTCCGGCCTTCTTGTCTCGCGAGGAAGCATCGAATCGTCATAATCATTAGCACCGCGGGTGTAGCCGTAATTGCATATGGTGTTTTACCACTGCGAAGGCAGGGTGCACAGTGTTGCCCATCCGCTACCTTAGCTGCTGGAATTCCGATTCCGATGAGGCGTGGGACAGGCGACCAGGAATGCTTGACGAAGCTTCCGACGGATTGATACGGTTCATTCAGGCTTGCCCGGTCCAGGATTCGCATGACGTCGGAGATGTTTATATAAATTTCTTCGGATTCAGATACAATCTTTTGGATAAAAATCTCCATTTGGAAACATGTGTCTTGGCATCCACAGGTGTCGGAGCAGCGCCGCACGCAGGAGGCCACCGAGGCTGCTACCTTGAGGGGCCACTTGGACGCGCGAGAGGCGAGCGCTTTAGCCTTGACTTTGTTGAGGTGCCCGCATCCTGTTGGATCACGCTGCTTCCTGGTTGAACTAAGACGGTCAGAGTGCGAAGGCGAGGGGGAAGGGCGAAGCCAGAGGGCAAGGGAGAAAGGAGAGTGGGAGGAGGAGGAGGAGGAGGAGGAAGAGAATACGGAGGAGGAGGAGGAGGAGGACGACGACGACGGGGAGGGGATAAGGAAAAGGAGGATAAGGAGGAGCAGGAGAAGGAGGAGGACAGGTTTGAAGGAGGAGACGAGAGAGTGAGAGAGAGAGAGAAGACAAACAACAAAAAACGAGAGAGAGAGAGGGAGAAGAGAGAGAGAGAGAGAGTAGACATTCATGTGTATATGTATAGACATATGTGTGTACGTAAATTTGTATAGATACACATTCAGATGATAGCCATTCAAAGAGTGATGGCAAAGTGGAAAATAAAAGGAGAGAAGCGAGCTAGGCGCGCGCGCTCCATAGTTTGCATCGTACCCCTCCCATACGCCCCTCTTCATTGCCTTGCACATATTTCTGTTCGCTGGGCCGGGTGCCCGCTCAGGCCTCAGCCCTTGAGTATGGCCAGGAACGTTGGCTTCGAGCGTCGCTCCGCGAGTCCTGGTCCGCCACGCTTCGGCGCGACACGCTGGCCACGCCCCAGTCCCTAAACGATCACTCCCCGAGCTTTTATAGGCCTCCCTCGTCCCACGAGGCAGCGCGACTCGCCCTCCGCTCGCAAGGCACGGCGCGTTGCCGGGGCCGCCGCCGCGACACGCTGTGCACGAGCTCCTGCCCGCAGCGTGGCCCGCCGTCGGCTGGCAGGGGGCCCGCGGGGAGGTCCAGCGGCGTCTGGGCGCATACACGACGCGCGCAAGGCGAATGGCGCCGAGCAGACAGCATACGCGTGGGGGAAGGCTGGGCAGCAGCAGCGGCAGGCGGAGAAGGCTGACACGGGAGGGCGACGAGGGAGGAGGAGAAGGTCGAGGTCGAGGTCGAGGTCGAGGTCGAAGAGGAGGAGGAGGAGCAGGAGGAGGAGAAGGTCGAGGTCGATGTCGAGGAGGAGGAGGAGGAGAAGGAGGAGGAGGAGGAGAAGGTCGAGGGCGAGGTCGAAGAGGAGGAGGAGGAGGAGGAGGAGGAGGAGGAGGAGGAGGAGAAGGTCGAGGACGAGGTCGAGGAGGAAGAGGAGGAAGAGGAGGAGGATTAGGAGGAGGAGGAGGAGGAGGAGAAGAAGAACGTCGAGGTCGAGGTCGAGGAGGAGGAGGAGAAGGAGGAGGAGGAGAAGGTCGAGAGCGAGGTCGAGGAGGAGGAGGAGGAGAAGGTCGAGGTCGAGGACGAGGAGGAGGAGGAGGAGGAGGAGAAGGTCGAGGTCGATGTCGAGGAGGAGGAGGAGGAGGAGAGTAGAGGAGAAAGAAGAGGTAGGAGGTCAAGCCAGGCGCGGTCGCGCCATATCGGACATCCGACCCCTCCCATCCATCCCTTGCCATTGCAATGAGTTTGTCTCTGTACAGGGACGCGTGCCATAGCGGACCTGGAACCAAAAAAAGATCCCCATCGTGCTATGCGCAATCGGAAAGAGCAGCCACCTACAGAGGAGGAGGAGGAGGAGGAGGAGGAGGAGGAGCAGGAGCAGGAGCAGGAGGAGGAGGAGGAGGAGGAGGATGATGAAGAGGAGGCGCAGGAGCCGAAAGATGGGCGAAGACCCGCATGCGGGCGCCCTCGCTGGTGCCTTGGGCGAAGCTCCTCATAGGGGCACGATCTGCCAGAGGGATGTGTCGGAATTGATGCAGGCCCGCATGCGCGGACGCCCATTGGAACCGTGAAGTTCTTTGAGGGGCACGATCTGTGTGAGCGGTGTGCCGACACAGGTGTGGGGATCGCATGCGGGCCCCCTCATTGGTGCCATGAGTGGAGTTCCCGTTGGGACATTATCCGCGTGAGGGGTCTGCCGAAGCCGATTTGGGGGCAGCATGCGGGCGCTCTCAGTGAGGCCGTAGGTAGGCGCGATCCGCGTGAGGGGTGTGCCGAAATTGTAGGTGGTGCTCCTTGTGGGCAAGCCCGATCTGTTTGAGGGATGGGCAAGAGCAACTGCATCAGCCGCCAGCGACACGAGCAGCAACGGCAGAGCAGCAGCATGTAGCAGACAGTGCAACACCAGCAACGCAAGGAAGGGGAGGAGGGATAGGGAGGCGGGAGAAGGAGGCACGCGCGCGGATCGAAAACGAGGGCCCAGCAACACAGGAGTGGGCCAAAACACGAGGAGCAGGAGGGAAGGGTACACGCGGCGCAGCGGATTCAAAGCGAGGGCCCAAATCCATTGGAGTGTTTGGGAATCAACATCTGGGAATTCATTCCTCCTTGCAAAAATCATGCGAAAGTGAGACCGGGAGGATGGAAAACTTAGACGCTCTTTGTGGAGCGAGGCGGTTAGTACGGAGGGTTGTGTTCAGAACGAGCTGTTGTACATGGGCAGAGGTGTGGCAGGCGCCGAGGCGACAGCGCTGTTTCGAACGGTCGAAGATGTTCCAGGTACAAGAAAAATTGGTCTCGTCATTGTCGAGTGGTTGTCGGCCCATCCCGCGACCAAGCTTGGGCTGAAATTCAGAGGCCACTGGGATGCCTGTGGGGATCTCTTCGCAGGCTTCTCGGAGGCCTCTTAGATTCGATGTTCGGGTGTATTGGCGGCCTCATATGGGCCTCTTCGGGGCCTCCAGGAGCTTGTGAGGGGACCTCTTGGGGGCATGCTGGGAGGGGCACCTTGGGGTGAAGTGCTCGAAATGTCTGCTCCTCTTGCCCCTCTGAAGCCTCTTTTGGGCTCCCATCTTGGGCCGTCTGGGGGTGCTCTTTGGGGCCTCTTGGGCCGTATTGAGGCAAGCTTGGGGACATTTAGGCCGTCGTGGAGCGCCAAAAGCTTGAAAAGGCGAGAACGCTAAAATCTGGTTGCTGATTTTTCCCATCGACAAAGTTATGAAAATAGAAACCAGTTAGGGTGGCATCTCGGGGCCTGCTGGTGGGGCATCTTGAAGTCCTCTTAATGTGTCTCGGAAGCTTCGTCCGCCACCTTGATGCCATCTTAGGCGTCTTGGAGCAGTCTCGGAGGCCTCTTGGGCGCTCCTCGGAGCCCTCCTGGCTCGTCTTGGGGCCCTCTGGACTCTGGGGAAGTCACGCGGGGACCCCCGGGAGCGCGCAAGAGCGCCCAGACTAAACATGAAACCCTCAACCAGAAGCTCAGGCTGTAGGCTTTAGTTTAGGCCCTTTGAAGCTCACACGCCGATCGGCAGATATCTAATAGCTGCCGCCTCCACCGCCGACCTCCATTGAGCAGCGTATGTTTGATTCGTTGTTTGTCAGGATGCCTTTCCGAGCACGGCAGGAAGGGTTCAGGTGAGACATCCAGGCATGAGCGTCGCCCCCCTGGACTCCTGATTATCTGTTGCACCTCGGACTCATCTATCGAAGACGCCTACGGCGAATCACAGCCGCTTCCTGCCCTTGTGGAAGCGCCGATATGGCCGACAGCTGGGCTAGAGCTTGGCCAAGCCATCGGGCCAGTTGTTCCCCGAGTCGGTTTGGAAAGCTTTCGGGGAACGCGTGGGGGAGCAAGAGGTTTGAAGTCAAGCGTTGTGGCAACAGCTCTTCCAAGCTATCGGACCATGCGTTCCCCCAACCGTTGTGGAAACCCTTCGGGGAACACTTGGGGGAGGATGGCGGGGAAGATCAGGAGGAGGAGAAGGAGGAGGAGGAGAAGCAGCAGAAGGAGGAGAAGAGGAGGAGGAGGAGGAGAAGGAGGAGGAGGAGGGGAGGAGGAGGAGAGGAGGAGGAGGAGGAGGATGAGGAGGAGGAGGGTCATCTTGGAAGCTTCCCAGGAGCCTCTTGGACGCATCTTGGGGACCTCCTTGGGCCTCTTGGGGACCTTTGGAGGCTTCTGGGGGGCATCTTTGGCCGGCTCAGGGCATTCCTGGCCCGTCCGACGCCGTCGGAAGCCGTCTTGGGGGCTTCTCTGGGCCGACTTGGGGCCCTCTTGGGGTGCTCCAGGGCCGTCTTGGAGGCCATCTTGGGAGTCTTGGAGGCCTCTTGGGCCGTCTGGGGGCCCTCTTGGGGCCGTCTTGGAGGCCTCTGGGGCCGTTCTGGGGCCATATCTTGGGGCGATCTTTGAGGGCTCTTGGGCCGTCTTGGGGCGTCTGAAGGCCGAAAAGGCGCAAATGACAAAATCCGTCAAAAACCTTTTTATGGAAAATCAATGATTTGGGCATCTTCGGGCCTTCCTGGAGGCCCTCTTGAAGGCCTCTTGGGGGCCTCTTGGGCCCTCTTGGACCGTTTTGGAAGCTCTTGAGCGGATTTGGAGGCACTTGGGGCCCTCTTGGGCCGTTCTGGAGGCATCTTGGGCCATCGTGGAGGCCACCTTGGGCCAACGTGGCCACATTGGAGGCCATCTTGAGCAGTCTTGGAGATTTTGCTGTGAACGTTGAGGTCGCTTCAGGACCTTGTGCGCCCTTCCAGGTGGCCAGCGGGCTGGGTCAGAGCCCCAGGGGGAGTTCTTGTGGAAAAGAACCAAAACCAAAAACGGTAGCGTCTAGCACGCCAGGCACCCCTGTGACAAGCACAGGGGGCGGCGGATCGAGAGGCCTTCGGCCCATCCCGCCAACGTGCCTGGAGTTTGGGTATGAAGCCACTTGGATGATCGTTGGGATTTCGTGGGGGACCTTTAGAGGGCCTCTTGGAGGCAGGTTTCAGACCTCTTGGTGACAGTTTTGGAACCTCTTGGGGTCGCTTTTGGGCCCCTTGGGGGCCTCTTGGAGCCTCTTGGGCGCCTCTTGGGGCCTCCTGGGGGCCTCTTGGGGCGGAAGGCTCGGATTTTCGGTTCGTGCTTCCTCTGTTGGGCCAATTTGGGGGGCCGTCTTGGGACCCTCTTGGGCCGTCTTGGGCGCCTCTTGGGCCGTCTTGAGGCGCTCGTGCGCCTTATTGGGGCCTTCTTGGAGGCCTCTTGGGCCGTCTTGGGGTGGTCTTGGAGGCCTCGAGGGTCGCCTGGGAGCGTCGGAAAGGAGAAGGCGAGAACGCCAAAAAATGTCAAACACCTGAGGGAAATCAATGATATTTGCCTTTCAGGGTCCTCTTGGGAGGCATCTTCGAGGCCTCTTGGGCCATCTTGAGGCAATTGTGGGCGTCTTGGAGCGATATTTGGGCGTCTCGGGGTGCTCTGGGGCCGTCCTGGGCCTCTTGGGGCCCTGTTGGCCCGTCTTGGGGCCCCCATGGCTCCGAAAAAGTCACGCGAGAAGCCGTGAGAAGCCCCAGGAGAAGATTTCGCGATTTGGGGCCTGGGCTCCCGAAAGACTCTTCAGGAGTGATGGCTGAGGTTGAGAGGATGATGGCAAGGACCTGAGGGCACGCCCACTCCGTGCCCAGAGGCACGGTGGCGGATCCACATAACCATGATCATTCGATGATCATGGTTCTGACGGATCGCATCGCATTTCCGAGCTCCGATGAGGGAGCCGCCTGGGGGTATTTCAAATTGCTTTTGGTTGGAATCGTGGGGGATGGCAGTAAATCGGGTTAGTGGTCGGAGGTTTGGGGGAGGTGGCATATATTATCCAGGAACAGCGATGACCCCATCCCCGAGGGGGTAAAAGGGGGTTGGACAAGGAATCGCGATTGACCATCTCTTGGCCAGAAGGTGGGTGGGGTTCTGAGCTAGGAGACCCCATGCGAGAAGTTGTCTAGGTCGGTTTCGGCGAAGCCTTCTTCGTAATTTTGGGTCCCGGCATGCCGCCTGTGAGGTGGTCTGGCCGAGCTCGACTGAGCCATCCTTGCGATTCTGGGCTTCGAGATGCCGCGCGAGAGATTGTCCAGCTCATTTCGCTTCGACATCCTCGCCGCTGTCCAGAGGCGGTCCAGCCTTTTTGCTTGAGACATCCTCGCAATTGTGGGCTTCAAGACACGCGAGACGTCCATCTAGCTTCCCCCCAGACATACTCGTCAGGGCCCATGGATGCCCTGACCTGAGTTGGTCCAGCCAGTTTCGCTTCACACTTCGTCACAACCCTGGGCTCGGAGATGAGCTTGCCTGAGGTCGTCCGGCCATCTTCGCCTGATACATCCCCGTCATTATGGGTTAATCGATGCTCTTGCTTCACGTTATCCGATCCCGTTTCTTCGCTGTTTTGGGTTCGCAGTTACCGTGGACTGTTCGTTTCGCTTGAGATATCCTTGCAATTCCGGGTTCATGTGCTTTGTCTTGACCTCACGTGGTCTTGGTCCCACGAAGATGTCCGGAATATTTTGTGAGCCGCATGTGGACCCTCTCATTGGGGCCTTCGGTGGCGCCCCTCAGGGACCAACGAAACGTATGACTGGTGTGCCGAAATATGCGGTGAGCCGCATGTGGAGCCTCCCATTGGGGCCTTCTGTGGCGCTCCGTATGGGACCACGCAGCGTGCGAGGGGCGTACCGAAACAGAGACATGCGGAGGGCTGAGGCAGGGACGCTTCGAGGAGGAGGAGGAGGAGGTTGGGCGCTGCGCTGTATCTTCAGAACGGGAGCCCAGGACCACGGGATGGCTTTTGGGCAATGGCCCTGGGAGCACGCGCGCGCAAAACCGCCGGAGCCGCTGCCCCACGCCGCGGCCGCCCGAGCCCCTGCCACGGCAGCTCACGCCGCTGCGCCGCGGCCCGCGCCAGGCTTGGAGGTCGGGCGGCCCCGCCCGCGACGCGGCGCCCTGTGGCCAGCAGGAGGAGCTGGCGATCTGCAGGCGGAAGTTGGCGGAGGAGCTCCTCCTCCTCCTCCTCCTCCTCCTCCTCCTCCTCCTCCTCCTCCTCCTCCTCCCTCCTCCCTCCTCCTCCTCCTCCTCCTCCTCCTCCTTCCCTCCTCCTCCTCGTCCGCCTCCTCCTCCTCCTCCTCCTCCTCCTCCTCCTCCTCTCCTCCTCCTCCTCCTCCTCCGCCTCCTCCTCGTCCTCCTCCTCCTCCTCCTCCTCCTCCTCCTCCTCCTTCTCCTCCTCCTGCTCCCCCTCCTCCTCCTCCTCCTTCCTCCTCCTTCTCCTTCTTCTCCTCCTCCTCCTCCTCCTCCTCCTCCTCTTTCTCGCTGGATCGGGTGTTGCCACAAGTGCCCCTGGCCCAGGGCGCCCCCAGGATTTCCAAGAAGGCCCCCGCGGCCTCCAGAGCACCCCTCACGAGGCCCAGAGGGCGCCCTGGGCTCCCAAAACTGAGCGAACAGCTGGGGGCACCTTGGGCCAGGGGTACCTTCAGCAACCCCCGACTGGAGTAAGAGAAAACGGCATAAACGTAAATGTTCGACGGTCCACGCGTAGTTCTTGGATCTGCGCTGGAGCCCCATCCTTGGCACGCGGATCGCGCCAGGGGGACCCAGCGCAGATCCAGAAAGTTGATGTTTACGTTGTTTCTTCTTCTTCGACTCCCTCTCCTCGCCGAGCGCGTTCCGCTGCTCGCAGAGTGCCCGCCCGCGAACGTCAGGAAAAATGTGTACATATGTGTGTAAATGTACATATATATGTATAGCTATATATATATATACATATATATATATATGTACGCACGTCATGGGTCGTGAATCCTCCTCGGCGGATCCAGGCCATTTGCGAGCAGTTACTCTGCGAGCAGTGGCACGCGCTTGTCTATCTCTGGCTCACTGCGGCCGCCCACCTTGTCCTCTCCCATTCTCCTGCATTGTGGCACCATTCGCTAAGCGGTGTCCCCGTTTATATAGCTCTTCTGCCAGTGCAGCTACTCTGCCTAGCCGCCGACGCAAAAAAAATGTCTATCTCCGGCCGCCGCATCCCTGCTCCGCCTCGCCCGTCGTCGCTGCCGGCCGGGGCGAGGGGTCCTTCTCTCCTCGGGGTGCGCGTCGGTGTGCGTCGGCCTCGGGGGGCCCGCCGGGGCGTCGGCCTCTCCCCCCTGGCCTTCGAGGATCTCACTCGCTGCGAGTGCTTGTAGGCAGACACGTGCGATGAGTTGCACGGTGCGCGTTTCGTCGAAGAAGAAAACACGCCATAAACATAAACTTTTGGCGCTCCGCGCGGATTTCTGGATCCGCGCGGGCCCCCCCGGCGGCGCCTCCAGCGCCGCCCCTGGCGCGCTTCGCGCGTCAGGTAGGGAGGTCCAGCGCGGATCCGAAAAACCCGCGCGTAGCCCCAAAAGTTTATGTTTGTGGCGTTGTTCGCTGTTTTTAATTCGCTTCGCATCATGCGACGAGCGCGCCACCGTTGACACGCAAAGCATACAGCGTGCCGATTCGTCAGTGGATCATTTGTACTGTTAAAATCATGTATAAAATTATGATCATCATAACTATTTGTGGATTGCTGTCTTCTTCTGGTTGCTCTGATTATTCTTGTTGTTAGCATTCCCATTGTTTGCTACTTCTCTGTGGCGCTCTACAAACGGAGACTGGCGGAGAAGCCCCCCTCCTTTGCCCTCCTCGCCTTCTCCTTATCCTCCTCCTCCTCCTCCTCCTCCTCCTCCTCCTCCTCCTCCTTCTCCTCCTCCTCCTCCTCCTCCTCCTCCTCCTCCTCCTCCGCCTTCTTTGCCTGCAGACCGCCCTGGGTTCTGCACGCTCCTGGCAGTGCCTCCCTTTCGGCTGGGACCCCTTCGCGGACATCTTGAATCTTGGATTTTAGTTGTTTTTCCGCTGAGTTGTTGGCTCGCTGTGGAAGCGTGGGGTGGGGGGGCGGCGGATCGCGCGGGGGGGGATCGACGGACGACGCCCCCGCGGAGCGCACGGGCAGGCCGCGTCGATTTGAGTTGCAGTTCCCTGCCAGCGCGGAGGGATTGGAGTGGGCAGCTGGAAGGGATGGGGCATGGAGGGCGCTACCGTTCGTTGTTTGCGAAATAAACGCCCATCTCATGCATCGGTGACAGGACGACAAAGCTCGCCCCCCTTCCCCCCGCATTTCAAGGTTGACGAGGAAGCCGTGCCCCCACGCGGAAGTGGGCGTTTACATCTCAACACGTCGTACTCTCTTTGGGCGCATCCGTTGGCCAACATTGAGATGCGGGGCGCGGCGGCGGGGCGCCCTGTCCTTCTGCAAGTGGGCGTTTATGTCGCAAACGGCGGCTATTACAGCCCCATCCACCACTCAGAAATGACCCTTTTTATCATGTCTGTGCACGGCTCCTTTGGCAGCTTCCAGTGGGTCACTCCAGCCTCCCGGCACCCCTGCAGATGCACGTGTGGACGTGTGCGCGAAGGTGGGGCCCAGCGTTGGCGCCAGGGTCCAGCCAGAAAGTTGGCCCGTGTCTTCGGCCCGCAGCTCCTTTCGAGAACACCCTCGTCTACAGACAGGTCAGAGTACGCCTCCTGGTCCGCATAAGTACTGGCCGCGCTCGGACGCCTCCGCCGCGCCGCCGCGACCCTTCGTGCGCACGTCCTCCTCCTCCTCCTCCTCCTCCTCCTCCTCCTCCTCTTCCTCCTCCTCCTCCTCCTCCTTCTCCTCTTTTTTCCTCCTCATCCGAATCCTCATCCTCATGCTTATCCTCCTCAATCCCTCATCCCGCCTCCTCCTCCCTCCCTCTGTCTGGCGTTTGGCCCGTTGTCTGTATTCCTCCTCTTGCGCCGTTGGACCTTGCTGCAGCGGCCAACCTCCTCTTCCTCCTCTTTTATGTAATTCTCAAATTGTGAGGCGTGCGCCTCTAAAATCTGTCCTCCTCCTCCTCTCCGATTTTCCCCTCCTCATCCATCCCTCACTCACCAAAAACATCCGAAACCTTCCTTACACTTCCTAAAGCCTCCGCAAAACCCAAGACCTCCTGGGGCATCCCCCCTCATCATCCCCCCTCCCCCCTCCCTTTCCCCCTCCTCGCCTCCTGCCATCCCCACCCCCCTCCCTCGCCTCCCCCATCCCTCCCCTCCCCACCTCCCCCTCCTCACCTCCTCCCCTCCCCCCCTCCCCTCCTCCCCCCTCATTCCGCCCCCTCCCACCGTCCGGTCGCTCACTCAGAGGAGGACTTCGAGAGCGCAGGCCGGCCTGGCGTCTCTTCGGGCGCCACCGAGGCCATGCCGACTTCGGACCCTGAGGCCCGCGGCTGCGGGAAGACTGCCGCATCGCGGAAGACTTCAGACCCAGAGCCCCGCCCCCCGTCCTCCTGCTGCCCTCTTCGAGCCGGGCCGACCTGTGCTGGCCCCGTGGGCCCACAGCCGGGCGAGCCCGCCCCCAGCGCGGAAAATGTGCACCGCACGGATCTCCGAGAAGGCCCAGCGCAGCCAGGGAGCACTTCCCCGCCCCCCTTCCGCCCGCCGCCGCGCCGCCCGCCCTGGGCGCCCGCGCCCCCTCCCCCTCAGGAGGAGGGCCTCCGCGCCGCCGGGGCGGCCGCGGCCGCAGCCGCGGCCCGCGCCTGCGAGGAGGAGCTGGCCCCTCAGGGGTGCGGCAGGGGTCTGCGGGCTCGCCCGAGGGGGCGAGGCGCCATCATGAAGCAAGCGGGCTTTCCCCTGCGATCCGGGCGTGACGTTTCTGCTCGCAGCGGGTGTCGTCGCCGGGTGTTGGGCCCCAGGATCCTCGCCGCTCGATCGGGGTCGGGAAACGGCGCAGGGAGATGGGGTCCAGGGCTCAGGTCGCGGCGTGTCGCGATGCTGCCAGTTTGCAACGTCGGCTCTCAGGGTGAAGGAAGCGGGTCCTGAGGCTTCTCCCCGTTTTCGGGCCCCAGGGGGCCTTCACAGACCCCCAGACGGTCAGAAGACGACTCGGGATGATGGACTGGTCCTGGGGTAAGTCTAGGCCTCCCAGATTGGGCCAGAGCAGATGAGGTCGGAGGATCGCGCCGCATCGCCGATGCATCGGCGATGCGGGTCGATGTCGAGCCCGATGTTATCCAGGCCGACGTCGCCGATGCGTCGCCGATGCATCGGCGATGCGGCGTGATCCTCCGTTCCCATATACTCCGACCCCTTGTGAGCGATGCGAAAAAGTGGGTAAACATCTTGGATCGCCTTGCGAACTGACCTGGCGAGAAACCCCACCATATGCAATGTGTGAGAACCGAAAGGCAGGTGAGACGAGCGAGGGGAACCTCACGATGGGGGTCACGAAACGTGTGAGGGTGTGCCGACATGGGCATGCGGTGGGCGGGCAGCCGCACGTGGACCCTGCCACTGAGGCCCTCGGTGGAGCTCCCCACGGGGCCACCAAAACCTGTGAGGGGTCTGCCGAGATGGACAAGCGGTGAGCGGGGAGCCACACGTGGACCCTGCCACTGGGGCCTTCGGTGGAGCTCCCCAGTGATTTCGAGCCTCTCTCCCCCCTCCACATTGGCGGCAGGCACCATTGCTCTGCGCCCTTCTGGGCACTCAGCTTTCACCCTTCTTCTCTGCATTTCGAAATCCGCACGGGCCTGCCGCCGAATTCGCCTTAATGTGTCCAGCACTGCGCTAAGTCGGTATATGTGCTTGCTGCACCTCTGCCACGCGAACGCTACGAGCATCACGCTTAGAGTGTGGCCAACGTCAAAAGAAGACGACAGTGTAAACCCAAGACGCATCGACTATACTGCAATAAACCCTCCCTCGAAGTTCCCTATTCACGGGCTCCTCAAAGAAAGGACTGTCAGTGCGGGAAGCGACCCCACCAGACAGCCGTCGGAGGAATCCCGGATCTTGCCAAAACATTGTTCTCGGGACTTCAACGCCGCGGATCGAACTGACTGGTGCGCCCTGCAGTCCTAAACCATGCCAGAACACCTTTCCTGGGACTTCAGCGCCACAAATCAATGCGACTGTTGCGTCCTGACAATCCGAAATCGTGCCAAAATCCTGACAATCCTGACAATCCTGAAAACAGTCCTGACAATCCTGACAATCCTGTTCATCGGCTGCCCGCGTCCCCTTCCGTCCCCCTTCCCCCCTCTTCAAAATATGCGCTGAACAAAAAAAACGAAATCCTGCCAAAACACAGTTCCTGGGACGTCGACCATACAAACCCTCGAAACTGTTAAAAACTTCGAAGACGAACTCGCGCGACGCTACGGCGAGAGCCACATTATAGAACTGCCCTCCATCCGTGAAACGATTGCAAACGTGTCAGACGAATGCGCGCGGCGCTACAGCGAGAGCCGCATTCTGAAACTAACCCGCACTCCGTCCACGAAATTGTTGCAACCTTTTGCAACGGATGTACGCGGGAATAAGGCGAGAGCCACATTTTGAAAACCACCAGCCCTCAAGCGGCACTAAGGCGAGAGTCACATGTTGATAACGACCCGCCCTCCACCCGCGAAATTGTTGCAAATCTCAAGCTTCATGATAAGAAATGGCGATGAAGTCTCGGACGACACGCCTGACCCGCCCCACCGACACGTCTGGGGGTGCGACATGGAGGAGTCATTTACCAGGAAAAAGGATGGAGGAGGGGTAGGAGGCGGAGAAGTAGGAGGAGGAGGAGGAGGAGGAGGAGTAGGAGAAGGAGGAGGGGAGGAGGAGGAGGAGGAGGAGAAGGAGGAGAAGGAGGAGGAGGAGGAGGAAGAGGTGGAGGAGGAGGAGGAGGAGGACGAGGAGGACGAGGAGGAGGAGGAGGAGGAGGAGGAGGAGGAGGACGAGGAGGAGGCACGCGGCGGCAGGCCTTGCCACGAGCTGGGCCCCCAGAGTCGAAGGGCGCTAACTGTACACCTACCCAGACCCCCAAAGTATTGAAACATTCAATGTGGAAGTTTTGCGTCGATTCGGCCCCTGGGGGCCCTCGCCGGGTACCAGGACCTTCAAAACAGTATCCAGGACGAAAAAACGGTCCCGGTGAAGTAGCCCAGAGTTCCAGGGTTATCCCAATATGGGGTCGGGGAACATACCCAGCTGGCGGTTGAATACTCACATTTTCTTCCCTTGAGATCCGACCTGGCGAAAAGATGGAAACGTCACGCCCGGAGCCCGAGACCCAATTTTTCTGCGTCACGTTTCGAGCTGGATCGATCTGCGAGGGTCCCCAGGCCCGAAAGAAAAGACGAAATCGCCTGGCTCGAAAAAATTGCAACGCCAGGGTCTCAGGGCCTTGCACGGGCTGTTCTGAGCGAACTTCTGCGAACCCCCACCCCTGCACCAATCATCAACATCATCATCAATATCATTATGCCCCTGCCCCACCCTGCCATTCTGAGCCCTCAACATCAAGATCATCAGCATCATCATCATCAATATCATCAACTTTACATCAGAAGGGGGCCATTCTGCCCCTGCCCCACCCTTGCGTCCTCCCGATCCCTGTCCAGGGATGCGGTCCCACAGGTGTTCGGTCTTGGGCCCCCGGATGGCACGCGACCAGGAGGAGGAGGAGGAGGAGGAGGAGGAGGAGGAGGAAGACGAGGAGGAGGAGGAGGAGGAGGAGAGGGAGGAGGAGGAGGAGGAGGAGGAGGAGGAGGAGGAGGAGGAGACCACCCGAAGCCGCCGAAGGCCGCCAGAGGACTGCCGCAGGCCGCCCCAGGCCAGAGGGCCACCAAGGGGCCCAAGGTCAAGCACCTAGGGTTCGACTACAGTGGAGGCCCATGCCAAGAAACACCCTGCTTGCCTCCAGGGTACCCTCGGTTTCTCTGGCTTCGATGGTTTGCTATGGAAATCGCGACGTTCCCACACCAATACATGAATCGAAGTCTTGGGGTTTTAGGGTTGGGTTTCTTGTGAAAGGTTCCTTGTGGACTGGCCTCCTCTGTACACGTGAGAGTGACCTTTCGCCGGAGTGGCCCTTGGTGCGGGCTGCATGGGGCTTCCCGATCACCAACTGCGATGCTGCAGCAACGGCCTGCGCGCCCGGCGGCGTCCACAGAGGGCCAAACCCTTGGGCCCCGCACTGGGAGTCGCTCTTGCGTGTAGCCGTAGGGTCCCCTCGGGCCGTGGGGAGAGAGCCGGCTCCTCCTCCTCCTCCTCTTCCTCTTCCTCCTCCGCCTCCCCTGCCTCCTCCTCCTCCACCTCCTCCTCCTCCTCCTCCTCCTCCTCCTCCTCCTCCTCCTCCTCCTCCTCCTCCTCGATCCTCCTCGATCCTCCTCCTCGATCCTCCTCCTCCTCCTCCTCGATCCTCCTCCTCCTCGATCCTCCTCCTCCTCCTCGATCCTCCTCCTCCTCGATCCTCCTCCTCCTCCTCCTCCGCCCCGAGAGGAGTGCCGCGAGCTGCTCAGCCAGCTCGTGTCGGAGGACCGGCGCGTTCGCCGGGGCGCGGCACCCTCCGGCCTCGGGGCCGGAGGGAGGGGCCACGTCAGCATTTCGCTCGGCCCCCCGGGGGGGCACAGGGGGGAGGGGGGTTGGACAGAGGAGGAGGAGAGAGGAGAGGGGAGGGGAGAGGAGAGGGGAGAGGAGAGAGGAGAGGAGAGAGGAGAGGGACAGGGATGGGGGATGGAGCGTTTCGCAGAGGGGAGGGGGAGGGGACAGGGGATGAGACGAGGGCAGGGGCTGAAACGATAGGAAAGGGGAAGAGGAGGAGCAGCAGTTCTTCTGGCCAAAAGCGATAGCCCAGAGGAATGAGGGCCCGAAAGAGAGAGAGAGAGAGAGACGGAGAGAGAGAGAGTGGGAGCACACAATGTTCGCCAACGTGGACCCCAAACAGAGGGTTGTATGAGTTGTCGGCTCCACTGCTCACGCAATTATCCCACCCTCCCACACGCAAGATGTTTTGTAAAACCCATGTGTCCACAATTGCGGTGACTATTTGGCGCTGGCTGGCGCATCTTTGCGGTTGCGCTGGCGCGCCCGAGCTCGCGGGCAGAGCGGCCAGTTGGCTTGGCACAGCTGATGTGGCTGCAATGACGCCAACCGGTGGGAACTTCCCAGCGCGTCTCAACACTTCAGTGCGGGTTGGTGACTCCGGCCGGCGCGGTACCATGATGACGTCACGTCGACAACGGCGACAAATCGATGATGATAGTAGCGATGTTTGGGGAATTGATGTCGATGACGACGGCAAAGCCAATGACGGCGACGATGAAGGCAACGACGATGACGATTATAATGGCGGTAAGGGCGGCGATTGGCGATGACGATAACGGCGGTGATGCGGCTGCGCTGATGAGGGTGATGGTGAGGAAGCGCGCGCGCGGAAGTGCAAGAAACTTGGCAGACTCCGCGCTGCAAAACACAAGGTTTCCATATGGAGTTAAGCCGCTATGTATTGAAATGCTTCGACACCAAGTGGTTTGGGAAAGATTTCGCTAAGATGCGCGTGTGGCCCGCGCATGGTATCACATGCTACGGATTCGCGAAGTGGGCACATGCTGGATCAACGTGGATGCACCGCGCGGTGAGATGAGAATGCTGGTTTTGGGCGAGATGATTGAAACCACATGGTTTCCCCCAGAATTCCAGCAAATATGCGCGGGCAGAATAACTGTAAGATCTGTTATAGAAAGCCTCTGGATGCTTTATGCTTGTATGTTGAAACGCTCACAATATGCTTGCTATAAGTTCGACATTGCGCGCGTGTGGATTTTGCGTCATATGCTGGGTGGGATCATTGGAAAATCAAGTTCGGAAACCTTACTGCGCGCGCGTCGAACTAATTATTCCACAAGGATGAAAAGGGGGCAATGTCCGGCCTGCCTGGGGTGGTATGAACTCATATGGAAAACGGAACGATGGGGCAGAATGATAAGTAATTTGCAGTGTCCCACGGGGGGGCGAGAAGCCCAGGGGAGAGAGGGTGGTAGAATTGATTCTGCTTTCGAAAAGTAGTCACCATTCAGCACAGCGCGCGACTATCCCCCATGCCCGCTTCCAGCTGCACGGCTCGAACAAAGATCCAACCCATGCACGCAGAACGGGTTGCCAAAGTTGAATTGGCGTAGTGACGCGAGAACCCCATTCATGCAGATCCATGATTCGGGCTGGCGAGTAATGATGCTAATGGTAGCGCTGACGACAGGGCTGACAACATCGATGACGATGGGCGATGGTGGTGACGGCGGTGGGGATGAGCTCTTGACTCAAGCTCGAGCGCGGGCCCCTGCTCAATTGACTCAAGTACCATTGTCTTTGGAAATGCCGTCGAAGGAGACCTCGCCACTTTACCGTAGTGCTTCAATTGCCGCTGCAATAGAACAACTGATAGTTTTTGTGCTTGTGCTGTCGCTCGCACCTGAACATTGCTGACTCGAGAGGCAAACGCTGGCGGGATGTTGTAGATTCTCCAGAGACACCTCGCCTGGAAGCCGTCGAGTCGATCCAGATCACGTGATAGTAAGAGACATGATTCATTTTTCTTGCGCGAAGCACGGGCGCCCTATGGTCTTGCTCTTCGGTCGAGAGCCCCGTTTCGAACGTAAATTGCCATTACCCCCCAGAAAAATCCCAAACCCATGGCTTCCTGACGCGTGTCGGAACCTTGGGGGCGCACTTGTGGCCATCTTGGAGCCTCTTGGGCCTTCTTGGGGCCCTTGGGCCGCTTCACCCGAAAAAATGTTAAGAAATGTGCCATGGGAGCCGCCCAGGAGCCGCTTCACTGGAAAAATAGAAGGGAAATTGGCCATTACCACCGATTCACGCGCACCTCCCCCCCCCCTGCACCCCCCGTAAGAAGGGCTTCGCCCCTGCTCAACGTCACTCGCTCGTACCTCGCTCTTTCCGTCACCCGCACAGAGTGAGAGAGAGAGAGGGCCCGCGGCGCGAGAATCCATACGGAAGCTAGGGTCGAGAACTCATGAGCCCTGCGTCTTGAGCACTGAACGAGTCAAGGTGTCCTGTGTCCGGGCCGTTGCGGGGCTGGACGACGGCGCGCAGAAGGAGGCAGGGCAAGGATGGCGGCCAAGAGAGAAGGCACGCCGCATCCTGGAAGCCCTCCTGTGCCTCGAAGCCCCCTGGGGAGGCAGCGATCCCGTACGTGGAAAATCAGTTCGAGCCCAGCGGCGCACGATGCCAACCCGGACCCTTTAGATTCATATTGAGGGTGCGGCAGTGGAGGGGGGGCATGGGTGGACAGAAATACTCAAACCCCGAAACCGCTGCCCGTGCTGAATTCAGCATCGATTTCGGGGGCGGGGGCGGGGGGTGAGCCGTTCCCTCGAGCGCGTGGGTGTTCGGATATTCTGTCCATGTACTGGCCCGCCCCCGCGCCGGGCCCTGGCCGAGGAGAGCGCCTGCTACGCGGAGTCGCTGGAGGTCGCCTCTCTCCGCTGGCGCCTGGCGGATGCGGCGGCCGGCCAGGGGACGGCAGCGCTGGCCCAGGCGGCAGCCCCCGCGCCGCGGGGGGGAGGGTCGGGGGTTGCTAAAGTCGGCGGCGAGCGGTCGGGAAAACGTGAGACTCGAGTACGCCAGAGCTCGGATTTGCCAGCGCCTTTTGACGAGCGCGTCCCGGATTTGAACGGTCCAGTTTTCGTGGGACGTTTGTTGCGGGAGTTCACGTCAAATTTCAGATTAGGTCTCGTCATTTTCATGATGGCCCCGTCCGGCCAACCCGAGTCCCCCGATTCCGAGTCTTACGTCTCCCCGAGAGGGGGGAAGTGAGAAGGGGCGGACCTTCTCAGAAGCCTCAGAAGTCCCCTGGCCTTCTGAGAAGTTTTCTGAGTCTTCCCCGAAGGCGCGAGGACTTCTGAGAAGCTCCGCCGCCTTCTGAGAAGGCTTTCTCCTTCTCACTTCCCCCACTCGCTCGCCGACGATACCGGTGTCCCTGGCCCAATGGTGCCCCGAGCTCTTCGTTCAACCCTGGGGCCCCCTGGGGCCGTCTGGGCCTCGTGAGGGGTGCTCTGGAGGCCGTGGGGGTCTCCCTGGAAATCCTGGGGGGCACCCTGGGCCAGAAGCACCTCTAGCAGCACCCGAGAGGGGGGCCTGGGACGCCAGCGTCCAGAAAAGTCTTGGTGGCCGGTGTTCGAACAGGTTGGGCATCGGGAGGCCCGGCTTCAGGGCCTTTTGCAAACATCGAGGTGCCATCCGCGGCGCAGAAGCGGTCTTGGTGATGGATTGGGCTCCTCCTCCTCCTCCTCCTCCTTCTCCTCCTCCTCCTCCTCCTCCTCCTCCTCCTCCTCCTCCTCCTCCTCCTCCTCCTCCTCCTCCTCCCTCTCCTACCCATGGTTGTGGTGGTGGAATATTAGCGGCGCTTCCAGGGGGCAAGGGCGGGGGGAGCAGAGAGAGGAGGGAGGAAGGGAGGAGGGAGGGCCCAGGGCCCACGTCACAGAAGTTTCACGGACTCAGAGGCGTGAGGAGGAGGGGGCTCGCTTTCGGCGTCGCCTTAGCCAGACCTCCAACGTCGCGGATAAACCGCTCCACGCTCTTCTATTGCAGTTGCGGCGTCCAGGGGGCTGCTCGTGGACAGGAAGGAGAAAGAGGAGGAAGGGAGGATGGGGAGGGCAGTGTGCGAGGGAGAGAGGGGCATGAGACGTGAGAATGAGGAGGACCGACACACCTATGTTTTCCTTCCCCTGTCTCCCTGTCTCGCCTCGGAGCCATATGGGCATTGCCCAGCCCCGTACCAAAGCTGCACGTGCTCTTCCAGACCCGATGGGAGGCGCACAGCCAAGACCGACGGCGCGCAAAGGGGGCAGGGCGAGGATGGCGGCAGTCAAAGAAGGTATCCCGAGCCCTTCTGCATTCTAGAATGCCTCCTAGGAGCCTGCAGAAGGGAACAGGGCCACTCTAACGACCCCCGGCATTCCAAGAAGGCTGCCCGAACCCCCTCGGCCCTGCCCCCGACTGCGCGCCGCCAAGATTGCCCAGGTCCCCCGCAGGACCGCGAAGATGATCACGCTTCGCAGCCTTGGCTGGAGAGCTACCCATCCCCAGGGCGCCCGCACAGGAGCGCGAGGACAGTCGCGCATCGCGCAGCCCGAAGCGCGAGGTTCGGTGACCTGGTCTGCGCGGATCGAAACAAAAAAAAGAAAACAAACAAACAAAAAGCTCCGGCCCAGGTGGGCAGCGTGCAGCTGCACGGCAGCAGGCTGGCGCAGTTGGACGAGGCCACGCAGCGGCAGTGCCTGGCGCTGCAGGAGCGGGGCAGGGGCATGGGGGGGGGGAGGGCGCGAGCCCCCTGTCGCAGGCCCTTCCCCACGAGACCCTCCACGGCAGGCGCACGGACACGGCACGACCCCGCACCACACGAAACGGATCGGCGCAGCACCGACCGACGGACTCGCGACGCGACACGACACGGCGCGGCACGGAACGGCACGGCGAAAAACGGAGTCGCGAGCTGGCGACACGGCGCGGCAAGGCCAACGACAGTTCCGCGAGTTGTGCCCCGGCGCAGCATAGCGCTGCAGGGCGATGAGCGGATTCGCGAGTTGGCGAAACGGCACGGCAACACACGGCGGAAGCAGATATCGCGAGTTGGCAGCACAGCACGGCACGGCACGGTGGGGAGCGGATTCGCGAGCTGGCCGCGCGATGCGGCGGTGAACGAACTTGCAAGTCGGCGACGCAGCTTGGCACGGCATGGTCGGGAACGGATTCACGAGTCGGCGGCACGGTACAGCACTGCATGGTCTCTGGGGAACGGATTGACGAGGTGACGACACGGCACGGCACGGCGGTCCGTGGATGCGCGAGCTGGCGACACGGCACGACACGGAGGGGATCGGTTTCGCGAGTTGGCGACACGACAGCACACGAATCCGTGGATTGGATTCGCCAGTTGGCGACACGGAACATCGTGACGAGGAACGGGTTCGCGAGTTCGTGGCACGGCATAGCACGACATTGCATAGCACGGCACGGCGGGGAACGGATTCGCGAGTTGGTGGCACAGCGTAGCACGACATTACATGGCATGGCACGGCGGGGAGCGGAGTTGCGAGTTGGAGGCCGTACACGGCACGTCTAGGAATGGAATCGTGAGTTGGTGGCGCGGCAAGGCATGGTGGGGAATGGATGCACGAGTTGACAATTGGGCATGGCAGGGTATGACACAGCGGGGACCGGTTTCACAAAGTGACGAGGCGACACGACATTTGAGGAACGGCGGGGAACGGATTCGCGAGGTGGTAGTTCTTGTTTCTTTTTGTGAATACACAAAGCTTATGTTGCATTCGTTCCGTATGGAATGTCGTCAAGTTGATGGCGCACGTGAGCGCATGCATATTCACATATGCAATCCAGACGAAATCACAGCCTGACATGTTGTGCAAGGTACATGTGGCATTTTCTGGCGATCTTTCCCAGGGCCCGCTTGCGTGCAGGTCAGTTCCAGGATGGCCCACTTCGAGTGTTGCGGTCGTGTCACGTCGATTTGTTGAAACAGGTGCGTTTTGCAGAAGTGCAGCGAAAGAATTGCAGTTTGATGCTGCATCGCCTTTTTGTCGACATTCCCACTCAATCAGGCGGCGCAATGCGAATCAATACCCGATGAGTGAATAGTGTTCAGGCCGCGATCGGAGGATGAACAGGGGGGCAGGCATGGGCGAGGATAAGGGAAGGATAGTGGGGTCAAGAGGAAGAGGAGGAAGGAAGGTGGTGTGCAGAGGCAGGGTGCTGGAGTTCAGGGGAGGAGGCCAGAGGAAGGCATGTGGATCTGGACGGGGAATGGCAGAAGTTGGGGGAGGACGGAGAGGAGAGAGCGCAGCGGGGAGGGAGGCGCCACGCGCGCTGACGCCAGGACAAAATCGAGCGCCTGAGGCCGATGGTCGAGGCGCGCGGCCGAGTTCGACGCGCAGTCTCCCACGGTAAGATACTCCGATTAGCACGGTTGTCCGCTTGTTCGTCCGTCCATCCGTGCGTCTCTCTGGCCCGGTATGTTTTTGTTGGTCCGGTCATCGGCTTGCATGCTGGTCCACGTGTCTGCCCGCCCGTGGAAGTATCTGGTTGCCTGCCTGCCCGCCCGCTTGCGTGCTCGCCTGACTGCTTGCGCCACTCCTCTTCCTTCATATGCCCTAGGCGTAATAAAAAGACAGGCATGTGTCCATACCAGTACATAGCAACACTCGGGCGCACGCATATCGCCTTGCGAAAACGGATGCTGTCGTGGGAACGTAGCTTGCTCTGGGGAGGTCCGATACTTGCTTCTGGTCGCACTTGAGCCCAGATGCCACGAAGAATCGAGCAGAGTAGGAAATCGGATGGCCTGCGGCCAATCCCGCCACTCAGGTCGTGAGCAAGAGGCCTCTGAGAGGTATCCTGGGATCTCTTGGGAGGTCTCTTGAGAGACATTTTGGGGTCGCTCGGAGGTTTCTCGGAGCGTCGTGGGGCCTCTTGGAGGTCTCTTGGGGTCCTCCTTGGGGTCGCTTGAGGGCCTCTTGGCGGTTCTTGGGGGCCAGCTGGCGGTCTCGGTGGCCGTTTCGGCATTGAGGGCTCGAAATGTCATTCTGGGGTGCCCCAAGCCCCTCTTGGAGCCATCTTAGGGGCCTCTCGGGCCCCTCTTGGGGGCGTGAGACCTGTCTTGGGGCGATATTGGAAGCCTCTTGGGCCGTCCTGGACGCCCGTGGAACCACGACGCCGAGATGTGTTAAACATTGATTTGGGCCTCGTGGGTTGTGCAACCAAACAGCCCAAGAGGTTGTAGAGATCAACTCGTTGTCGCTATTGGTCAACCAAATCACAACCAATTTTTTCCAAAATCCAAAACACACGCTTAAGATAGTTCGCTCGATGTTGAAGTTGTATTAACAGCCATTCCGCTAGTGTACTATGGATTGCACGGCGCACGTTTTTTCGCAACTGGAAGGGACCGATCATTATCGGTTGCAACCGGGGCCGAGTAGTTGGGGTCGTTGCCATGTGGTTGCGAGCGGGCGCAATCGTCTCTTGGGCCACTGTGGGGCCCTCTTGGAGCGTCCGGAGGTCTCTGGGGCAAGTCTTGGGACCGCCTCGGAGGCCCGTTGGGCCGTCTTGGAGTTTTACTGTTTGCTGCTTGGTGCTCTTCGGCACCGCCTGCACCCCGCACCCTCCGGCCGCCTGAGGCCCCGCCCGCCCGCGCTCTGTCTCCCAAATTAGTGCTTTGCGCGCCCCGCCTAGCTCTTAACCGGAAGAGGCCCGCTCCCGACCCGCAGGCCAAAACTGTTTGCTGCTCGGTATTTGTGCTGGTGTGTCAGGTGTTGCCTGGATTTTTTCTCCCCCGGCACGAGCCTCTCCTCGGCCAGGTTCTCTCCAGCCAGCAGCTTCGAGAGGGGCCAAGCCTGCTCCAGCGAGAGGGGAGTCGACTCTCTGAGCGCGCGTGTCGGGGAGGGGACAGGATCGGCCCTAGGAAAGCACTCTCTGGACATTGATGCCAGGCAGCCGAGGAGCATTATAGCACGCCCCAGCGTGGCAAGCACGGCGGCGGATAACGGTAGAGCGCACATAAACATGATCAGTGGGTCCATCAGCGTAGAAACATGATCAGTGGGTCAGTCAGCGTAGTGGGCATGGAGCGGTAGCGTAGGGACCACCAGCAACATCATCCGCACCAGAACCCGCCACCACTGCCAGCTCCAGCGCCAGCACCTCGGGCAGAGCCTCACCCTCTGAAGCCAGGCCGGCCGCGGCGATCGCCGCCAGGGCCAGAGACGGTACGCGCGTGACTCCTGAGGGCGACGCCCGAGCGCGCGGGCTGGCCAGCAGCAGCCGCTCGGACTCGTCCTCCCCCGCGCGGCGGGGCGAGGCGGGAGATGGGAGACGGGGCGGCCTTCGGCGGAGGAGGACGCGAGGCCCGCGAGGCGGAGCTGGTGCCGCGCAGGGCGGCGACGGTGCGGGGGGCGAGGCGGCAGCCCCGCGAAGAAGAGGACGGCGTGGTCCTTCAGTGCCGTCCTCGGCGTGCCGTGCGCAGGTGCGCTCGGAGCCCGAGCGAAGATACAGAATGTGCGTGTGTGCGCGCAATGTATCGGAAGTCTTCCACGTCTGAGTGCTATTCCTTCCCCCTCCCTCTGCGCGGCCGCCCTCGCTCCTTTCCCTCTCCTTGCAAGCCGGCCAATTGGCCGTTCGCTTGCCCCGAGTCGCCACACGCCGGAGCGGACCGCCCCTGCCGCGCCGCCGACGGAGGAAAAAGTGTGTACGCAATGTGTCTGCACGGGCTTGCTCACAGTGTGCGCAGCGGGAGGCGAGGCCGCGGCCCGCTACCCCCCCCGCGGCGCGTGCAGCCTCCGCTGCGGAGGGCCCGCTGGCGCAGGCGGTGCGGGGGTGCACCGCGCGGGCCTCCAGACGCCCGCGCGACAGGCGCGGTGCGGACACGCCCGCGCGGGCGGCCTCCCGCGGCGCGACAGGCGCGCGCGAGCCCCAGACACCGACGGGCTCGCACGGCGCACTTCTCGACAGGCAGGCACCGATGAGTTCACGCGCGCGCTCTCGACGCGGCACCTGCAGGTTCACGCGCACGGCACCGACGACGCGGTCACGCCCGCAGCCAGGCGCGCTGGGGGTGGAGCACGACGTGCTAGGACGCGCGCTGGGGCAGGCGTGCCGACAATGCGTCGTCCTTACCACCGCTGCCCCCGTCATCAGCATCGTGGGCCCGGTAGAGTAAGTCGTCCGGAGTCTTCTTGCCGTCGGTGTGTTTCCTACGGTCGTGTTTGGAGACAGCATTGGCAGTGCTTGCGCGTGCCTGTCGGTTTGCATCCGTCCCATGTCTCGTTGCTGTGCTATGTCTGTGACTATATCATTGTTTCTATCCGTGTCTTCCGTCTGGCCACCCACTATTCATTCGTCCGTCATTCCGCCCATCCGTCCATCCGACCGCCCGTCTAATTTTTGTTGCTCGCCCGTCCCCGCACAGAGCTCCGCGCGGTGCATGCTCTCGCTCTCCTGTTCGCCGAACAGCGTGCACCTCTTCGCTCTGCCTGCGTGCGTGCGCTTGTGCGCAGAGCTTGGCGTGCGTGTGCTGAGTGTGCCTGTGCGTGTGTGCGCTTGTGCGGGTGTTTGAGTGTGTGCGCTTGTGCGTGCCTGCGCTTGTGCGTGCGTGTGTGCGCTTGCGCGTGCACCTCTTCGCTCTGCCTGCGTGTGTGCGCTGGTGCCTTCGGGGTTCCTGTGATCTCACGCGCGTGCACTTGTTCGGTCCGCAGCGAACGTGAGCGCCAGCGCGGTGGCAAGCTGGCGGGCCGCGCGCGGCCAGGGCACATCAGACAAGAGGAAAAGAAGAGGGCGGCCGCGGAGGAAGAACGAGAGACGACGACGACGACGACGACGACGACGACGACGACGACGACGACGACGACGACGACGACGACGACGACGACGACGACGACGACGACGACGGCGCGGGGGAAGGCCTCAGGCGTAGAGAGTCCACACCACGAGGAGTGCGCGGGCGGCCTTCACGCGCACGCACGCGCGGCCACACGTCGGCAAAGCATTCGCTATCCGCGCCGCTTCGGCAGCCTATGCGTCGTGTTGCGGGCCCGCCGCGAGGCGATCGCGGAGCGCGAGCGGCTCTGCGGCGGCGGCGAGCGTCGGTGACGCCTCGGCTCGCGGGGGAGCGAGGGAGAGCCAAAAAGAGCGCGCGGCGTGTGCGGAGGACCGCGGCACGGTGTTGGATCCTCTTTTTGCCAGGGCCGTTTGAAGACGGAGTGCGGAGAGGAGTAGGAGGAGTAGGAGGAGTAGGAGGAGGAGGAGGAGGAGGAGGAGGACGAGGAGGAGGAGGAGGAGGAGGAGGAGGAGAAGGAGGAGACGGAGGAGGAGGAGGAGGAGGAGGGAGGTGGGTGGAGGAAGAGGCAGGAAGGGGAGCAGAACGAGAAAAGGGACCATGTCAAGCCCAGGACGCGTCAACGATCCTGCAATACGATCTCTTGTCCCAGGCCAACAGAAGTCCCAAACAAGCGTCTGGCGACTGTACGGAGCGCCCCCTGGAGAGACGATCACCACGTGGGCCTGCCACTCGGGTGAGAGACCCCGGTTTGAGAAGGAGGGGCTCTGCATTTGTTTGGTGACAGCCATAAGGAATGCGAAAGGGCAGGATCGGAAAGTTCAACGACGTGCAAAGCGGGATCCCCGTTTTGAAAAAGAGCCGCCCCACCGGGTGCTCAAAGCGAGAGCCCCATCTTGGAAAAGATCCGTCGCCCCGTGCGTACAGATGCCCAAACTTATGAAATTAATGTGCGCGGCGCCTGGGCCAGAGCCCCATGTTGGAAAGGAACCGCACCCCCATCCAAGTAGCTGTTCAAACTGTCCTGACAGATGTGCGCGGCGCCTGAGCGAGAGCCCCATTGTGAAAGCCCCCCACCCATGCATTTGTTCTAAACATGGAAGACCGATGTGCGCGGTGCGTAGGCGAGGGCCCGAAAACGATTCCCTCCAGAATTGTGTCCATTGGAAGATACAAAGACGAACACGCACGGCGCTGAGGCGAGAATCCGATTCTAAAAACGACCTTACCCCCTCCATCCGTGCACGTGTTGAAAGTTCCAGGCTTCAGGATCATAACGGGTGAGGGGAGCTCAGACGAAGCGTTTGGCCCGCCCTACCGACAGTCCGATGTCCGATGGCGCGACAGGGATAGGCTATCTACATACGAAGAGACGATACGAAGGAGGAGGAGGAGGAGGAGGAGGAGGAGGAGGAGGAGGAGGAGGCGGCGCGGACAAGCGCGCGGCAGGGGATGCTCACCATATGTCCCGATCCACCGCCACAGATCTGACTTTGTGGCGGCGCCGCCATGCACGCATGGAAAACATATTCGCTTTGATCCCCTCTCGCCCCATTCCCGAGGAGGAGGAGGAGGAGGAGGAGAAGGACAAGGAGCCTTCCCAGGGGCCGGGGCCACAGCCAAGAGCAACCATGCACTCAAGGGGCTACGCCTGCGCTGCGAGGCACGGGCGGACTCCTCGGGAACCACAGCAGGGCCTTCCTCTCCCTCGGCTGCCCCTTATCGGCCCCGTCTTCCTCACCCCTCGCGTCCTGCCAGCTATGTGCGGCGGTTCAGAAAGGGCCTCGCTCGCCTTCGAGGGTCTAAGGAGTTACCATCCCTTCCTCGGCGGAAGGTGGCGCAAGTAACACGAGGGCGACTCCGCCGCCGGCAGGCTGGCGGAAGGCGGCGGAAGCGAAAAGTGTGCCCCCAAGAGATGGCAATTTTGGAGGGTTTGGGGTGTCCAGAACCGTTTGTGCGCGCGAGAGGTGCCGAGGCGGAACACTTCTCGGCGCTCCTGGCCCGCCAGCAGGTGTCTGCGGCGCTCGCGGTGTCCGAAGGGCCCACCGTAGTGGCTGAGGTGATCCACGGCTCCTCCGCGGCCCTCAGGCGACGAAGCCCGCGGCGCCTCGCCCGACGAGCCGCGGCTGAAAGGGCAGCAGACGGTGTCTGGACGCCGTGGGGCGCCAGGGGCTTCGGCCCAGAGTCGGCCCCCCCAGCCAGAGCTCCAGCGCAAGAGCCGCCCGCGGAGCACTCACAGCCAGGGCTGGCCTGTCCGAGGACACCCCAGCCTCGACGCGGCGGCGACACGGTTTCGGGCATCGGGAACCACAGAAAATAACCGACGGCGCCAGACCCGTACGAGGCTCTGGGACCTCCGAGGGCGGAGAAGGCGCAAGATCGAGCGGTTAACGCGCTGTCAGGAACCAGGGACCACATGTCCATCAAGGAAGCAGCTTGCCGTGTGTTCTCTGGTTTCCCCCCAGCCCCTTCCTGTTTAGGCCCACTCCCAGCCATTTCACCCACATGAGATGGAGCGGGAGGGAGGAGGGGAAGAGAAGAAGGGGGAAAGAGAATGTTACGGAAGAGGAGGAGGATGTGATTGGCTCCGACGTCTGGACGTCCTCTCCATCGCGCGTCCCCAGCTGAGGCCAAGTGGACAGGTGGCACCTTGGATGGAAACTCGACTTCGCCTCGGTTTGGCTAGGCAAGAGCGCTCCAAAGAGGCCCCCGTCTGCCGAAAAATCGAGGAGAAGTTGCCATCTCGCCCTCGACGGCGACCCCGCAGAAGTTGGCGGAAAGGGAAGCCGGGGCGGGTCCGCCGGCAAGAGCCCGCCGAAGGTTGCCGGAGGCACGCAGACGTGAGGCCGAACCCCGAAAAAGAAGGTAAAGATCACCAGCTTACCCAGGGCTTTGGAGGCAACCGACGAAGGCATCTATACACCACCACCGTGCCAGGCCAGGGCCATCCTGGGCCCCAGGATGGTGTATAGACCCTCTTGGCCTCGGCCAGGAGGGCGTATGCACCATCCTGGGGCCCAGGATGGCCCTGCCTTGGCACAGTGGTGGTGTATAGATGCCTTCTGCGAATTAACCTTGTGGTCAGAAGGGCTGCCCTGGTCGAGCCAGAGCTCCCCCGGCGGCTTCCCCGCAGAAGGGAGGCCGACGGGCTTCCAGGGTCTGCCCGGGCCCTGCTCGAGCCGCGGGGCCTGCAGAAAGAGAGCCCGTGGCGCAAGATCCACGCAGATGATGGGGTTAGTTAAGTCGGGCCTGTCCCCCTACAGGGGGATTTTCGACGAAAAATCAAAAAGTACCCCAAAAATAGTCCCAACATGCTCCAAAAATAGTCTGGGGACGATTTGCTGATTATGTTTTGGCCTTTTGGGTGTATTTTTGGGTGTGTTTTTTCTTTTCGTCGAAAATCCCCCTGTAGGGGGACAGGCCCGACTTAATGATGTGGCCGAGGGCTTTGGGGCCCCACGTGTGAAAAATGTGAGTGCATCGGATCTCGGGGCGTGGAGCCGAGAATCGACTCCTCTCCCCAGGCGGACACCAGCGGAGGGTTCGCGGAAGTTGTTTCAGAAGTGCAGGCAATGTGTTGCAAAGAGTTCAATTTGATAGGTTTCAGTGCTGCTGGTGTCGACCACGCCACCTCGGGCAATTCCCATAGCGACCTCGCCGAAGCCCTCCCCGTTCTCTTTCGGGCCGACCTCCTGTCTGCACGGGCGCATTAAGGGCGTCTTCCTGGCCAATCATCCTGCGCAAGCTGTCCTCCTCTCGCCAGCTCGCGCAGAAGTAATGCAAGGTGTTTCATGTAATCGGTTCTCCTCCTGCTGCTTTGAGCGCTCTTGGTGACAGAGGATCATGTCCCACACCTCGCCAACATACTCCCCAACACCCGTGCGCCTCTCACCCGCAAATGGAGCCCCGCGCGCCCCAAGGTGGCACAGTAGCTGACGATGGACCGACGCGGAGTCGCAGCTGCGCGGAGGTAGTTGAACCCGGTGTCGGCAACGTTGCCATACATCCAAGTGTTTTCATGTTCAGCGCCTATGGGCGCTTTTTTTCTGTACTGCAGCAACTATTCAAGCGCAGTCGGAGGTGCGGGAAGGGCCACAACTAGAAACCAGCATAGCCTACAACACGCGAGTGGTTGCTTCGTCTCGTGCGGCGCGACTGGCAACGAATATTCAATTGTTTTCAATACATCTCGATCGAGTCCCATCCAGCCCAACTCAGTCCGGGACAGCATTCCATACCAAGACGTGTCAGTCTTATGTTAGCCCTACCTTGAATAGATCACAGCACAGGTCAGTTAGTTATGTCTAGTCCAGAAATATTTGTCAATTGTAAGACGAACCCAGCCTTTCGCTCCCCTCTCGGACACTGCAGGGACTGAACGGGGCCGTCTTGTGGGGTATTGCGAAGGTCTTACGGCTGGTGCCGACGACCCCGCAAGGGGACGATGACGAAGACAGCGACGATGATAATAGTCAAAAGCTAAGGAGTAGGAGGGAGGAGGGGAGGGGGACGGAGGAGGTGAAGGGCAAGGGGAAAAACGAGGGTGGAGGGAAGATGATTAGGAGGAGGGATAAGGAGCTGTATAGCTGGATGGCGGAGGAGTCGCCATGGATTCGCCATCTACCAGGATGGGGGTGGTGTGTCGCCACCACGACAAAGGGCGGCGCGGCAACCACTTTACTTTGTATACACCGTCGGGCTGCCGACGACGACGACGACGCTGACGTGGATCAGAGTCCTCAGGGATGCTTCTTGGGGTCTGGTCGAAACGCTCTTGGGAGCCTCGGGGGACAGAGTAGGGGTCTCTTGGGAGCTTTGGGGGGCCTGCTGGGCCTTCCCAGGGGCCTCTCGGGAGCATATTAGGGTCTCTTCGGGGCTTCTTTAGGGCTTTGGGGGTCCTCTTGGTTTCTCATGGGAGCAATCGGGGCGGAGGGCTCGAAATGTTCGTTTTGGTCCGTCGTCGCGGCTCCGTCCTGGAGCCGTCCTGGGGGCTTCTGCGGTTCTTTTGGAGGCGTCTTGGACCGTCTTGGAACGCTCCTGTGCCGTTTTGGGTCGCTCGTGGAGCCCTCTGGGGCTGTCTGGGGGCGATATGGGAGGCCGCGCAGGCCATCTTGGAGCGTCGGGAAGCGGGAGAGGCGAAGGACAATTTACGGCTTTTGCTGTTGAGGCGCTCTTGGGACGGCTCCTGGAGGCCTCTTTGAGCGTTTTGTGGTTATTCTTGGGCCGTCTGGAGGCCGTCCAGGCGTCTTGGACAGGTCGTTCGGCGATGCGGGGCCCTCGTGGACTGTCTTTGGGAGCTTTTGTTGCACTCTTG